CATGCCCAAATTGTAAGTCATTCTCTAAATCAACATGCTGTAGAGGGTTTTTTTTCAGCACTTGCAATGTCTTATAGCACAGTAGATGACATAACTGTCTGTCAAACTAAATGGCAGTTAACTTCACAAATGCCTTACCTAATAGCCTGAGTTCCTGAAATATTTTTCTTTTAAATACATACAGTTATTGGGGCTGAAGTGTTATCAGTGGAGTGTGATCTTCAATGTTTGATTGTTTTTATTTTTTTTTTTAAGCTGAAGAAAATACAGAGGGTGTGAGCCAAATTAAACAAGAGCCAAGAGAAAAAGCATTGTCTACGGAGCCAGATAAAATCAGAGACTGCCATAGTTCCTCACCTATTTAAATATGTGAAGCCTGGAAGGATTTTTTTCAAATCGACGAACTCTAAATGTCTTGGAAAGAAAGGGAGGTGCTCTCAAAGTAATGCCATTCTTCTTAAGTTGTATTGTGACATTCAGACTAGGAATATTTTATACTAGTTCTGACATACAGCTGTTTTGATTTATGACTGATGTAGCTCACTGCCAGTTCCAGGTCATTCACTTGCCCTGTGGAAAACCACCTCTCTCTTCTATTTCAAGTTTTGAGTAATTTGGATGCTATCCAAATGGCCCATATTGGTCGACATTTCTGAAGGTCTTCCACAATTTAATTCCTTAGCTTTAGAATGTGGATCACAATGCTGTATTTGCTTTTCTCCTTGAGACCCTCGACTGTTAACGGCACTACAGAGACCATAGAATCCAACAGCAAAGTGTATCAATACAGCAATGTTTTTGCGACAAAATGAAGGTCCAAGATGCTAAATTTCAAAGTGATGAAGGACATGGATGCTTAAGAAAATGCAACTTTGACCTGATCATAATGTTAATGGTGTGAAGATCAAGGAGAGGAGAAAGGTGAGGTTGCCAGGTGAATGTAAGGTTGTATGATGAAGAAAAGTGTGTGAATTGTAATGGTGAATATTTTCAACTTTGACATCTTTAAACTTATGTTCTGGCTTTATAATGAGGTTCATTCCTGCATGCAACCTCTGCAGTGGTACTGTATTAGCAGTTGGTCATAACAACTAAAATCAGGAGTCTTGTCTCATGCAAAACGATTGATGCTGCCATTTCAGCCTGTCTACTTTTTGCTTTATGCACTTACGCTATCAGCTCAGATAAATATAATTAACCTGCTGCTGTTTGTGATGTAGGGCTTCTGGATACATTACTAACAAAGGCCCAAGAAAACAAAGCAAGTAATAGAAATCCAAGCAATATGTGCAAGTGTGCTGCCACCATAACATTCAGAAAACAAACTCGTCTTTTTTGACAGTGGCAGCTTTAAGACTAAAGTGGTCCGTATTACTTAAAGTAATTATGAGGAATCTTCAAAAAAACCGAATACGATAAAAGATACAAAAATCTTTTAGCAATATTTAAGACAAAGCCATAATAAGTGACAAGCACCGAGTTGTGTAATCTGTGACAGACATGTTTCTTTAAGAAAAAAAGTACACCTACATATAACTTGGAATCCCGTTAAAGCAGTAAACGTAATGAAACTGATGCCAATGTAGATACCAAGTTAAACAATGACATTGTTTGCTTCAGATGTTGAATTCTTAGAGCCACATTCAGAGTATTTTGTATACAGCAATATCTGCAGTTCTGTTAATTGCTACTAAGTGGTTGAGAACTTGATCATAAAATTAGATAGTTTTTCTGCATGCTGTACAAGAATGCAATCTGAGGACTTTCAGTTCTTCAGACTTCAAAAAAAAAAAAAAACCCCACACAGAAAAGGGAAAAAGATTGGTTCATTTATGTAGAGGAGGAAGTGTTAGGAATATTACATGAACATGAAGATTAACATTTTAAAATTGTTAAATTTGTTAACATACATTCAAAGCATTCACAAACATCATTTAAATACTGGCCATTTCAAATTAATTATTTTTTTTTTTGAGTATTTAAAGCTAAAACTTTCAAAAGTCTTACGTAGAACTTGGATTCCTAATAGCTTTATATGCAGCATCTGTTAGGTAGGTGCGATATCTTAGTCTTACCTTAAAATATATTAACTTCTGTGAGGTTAACACTGTAAATGCTGTTCATTTAAAGTTAAAGTTTGTGGGTTAGCCTAAATTAGAATTTTCCAGCAGGGTCATGCTCTTATTAAGTAAGAGTCAGTATTTTATCATGCAATTGCATAGAGAATCCCCAGTTCCTTGGATTCTCTCATGTTTAATTTCTACACTGACTTGTTTTGTGGTATGCCTTACTCATTTCTGGGTGGGTAAAATCCCACCAGGTGTTCAGCCTTTGGTTTTGGGGTTTTTTGTTGTTGTTGTTAATTGTGAAATGGATGTTCTCTGCTGCAGTTACAGTTCTGGAGCACACAGGCAACAGTCTTTCTTTTCTTTTTCTTTTCCAAGTCAGTAACTATATACCAGAATGGGTACCTCTTTCCACTCAGCTGTATTCAGTGATTCCATCACCTTTGGTTTTTCTTAGAGTTTAAACTAATGCATTCGAAAGTGTAACACAAGAATAAATTACAGCTAAAGATTACTGGCAAGAGGTTATTTCAGTTTTAGCTCTCTTCAAAGCAGACAATGCATTTGTGGTTGGAGTAAAAGCTTAAGGAAAGAGAAGTTACATTTCCATCAGTTTTTGCTTAGTTCCCTCATTAAGAGATCCGGTCTTTAACAGTCGTCACGGTTTTTCTCACCATGAGCTAGTCTCATCCTGTGCTGAACAATATTTCTGACGGTACTTCTATTTTTGGTTTAGTGCTCACAGCTGGAGGAAATACTCTTTTAGTCCATCTTGAATTGCAGGCTGTGAAATGAATTTTATAATCTACCCTGAAAACAATAGAACAAAAAGTTGGGAGAAATTTAAAGGAGTACGTAATTAGTTGTTTTTTAAAGCTGGGGATGAGAGTTGCTATTCTGTTAATTGAAAAAGTTTATTTGAAATGTTTCTTCAGCCAATGCTCACATTTTTCATTTTCACAGAATTTCAGCTCTTTTTCTTCCAAATGCACATTCCAGTGCATTACTGTGTTGTGTTTTAATTTAGTGTAACTTTTCCTCTTTAAAGAGTATATTTACATTTCTTTTGTGTATGTTGCTAATGAAGGAACACAAACTCATTACCCATATGCAATCTCTATAGTCAGCTTAACACCTTGGTTCACTAATTTCCACCTAAATTTTACAGAAAAGGCCTACTATGTATATGAAAAAATCACAAGTAAACAATACCACTTTCAATGCACTTAGATTTGTTTGCATAGAATACTTGAGGCTGATTTTTCAGAGAAAGCTATGTAGCTTGGTGCAAAGTAGCTGGTTATTACTTTGTATTGGAATTGTAGATGTTTTTCTGATGTTTACTTTGTTTTCTTGTGGTTGTTATGTTCAAGCATTTATTTTGCAAACCTAGAAATCCTGAGCTTCCATAGTACTGTAAATGAACAAATTATTCTCCAGTTTATCTTCATTGTTGGTTACCCCTAACAATGATTGGTTGGCTTGTCAAGAAGGGCTGTGGTTATGTATGTGTATGCAAAGATAATTTTTTCCTAAAATGTAGAGAAGACATAAAAGGGCACACATCCAAAGCTCTTGTTCAAGGCTGGCAATCTCTTGGATGGAAACCAGTAGTGGTAATAAGTCTTTTTCACCCTGTTCAAAAATCCAGACTTGGTCATGTGGAATGAAAATTGTTGCAGTTTGTACAAAATTTAGAGACAAATGTCTGTATATGTATGTGTATATATATATTTATATAGTAACTTAATGTATAATGTTCAAATGTAAACTACTTTTTCTTTTAAATTAATGGTCTATGTTGTGGTTATGGGGGCTCATGGGGAGAAATGCAAGAGCTACTTGAAGGCAGTGGTTTCTGGGGGTGAAGGAGAAGTAGAACAGTTCCAGGGAGACCAGGTGGAAGAAGTTTTTGAGGGGGTGTGAAAGACAAGTGTCCTGCAGGGGAGGCTGGGGCGGGGAGGCTGGGCTGGGGAGGGGGTGTCTGGGGCCCTGGAAAGGGATTGCGAGCCCATCGCAAAGGTTCAGTGCAGCTCCTCAATCTATGCCAGGAGTGGAGTTCATGGTAGTAATTTAAAGGTATGGAAGAAAAGGCAAGTCTGTCCTGCCCTCAAAACCAACAGAGCTGCTTGAGTTTTGGTGAATACCAGAGGCGGCTAAACAACTTCCCATAGTTTAAGACACCCACTCTTATCTTCTACTATAAAGAAGAAACTCCTTGGACCTTCAAGCCAGGAGCGTAGGGTCCTTTCCTTTACTTGTTACTAAGGAAAATACACCTTTTCTTCCCAACTGAATTAACTTGCTGCTCTCCTCATCCCTCTGAGGGCAGCTCTGTCAACCTCAGGCATGCTCAGTACCACCCAGGCCTCTCTTCCTTCACACTTATTAGGACTTCCACACAAGTCCTGTGCCCTCAGGCCCACCAGTTCTCAATGTTTCACTTTTATATTGTTGAAGCAGCTGATGAATTCACTGCACAAGTAAACACTGGTGAGATGTGCTCGTGTCAGTTTTTCTTCCTGTCTCCCCAGGATCCTAAGTCCGTATGTTCCTTTTAATTTCATTAAGTTTTTTCCATACTTGCTTTGGGACTTATCACCCTTACGTGGATGACTATTAGGCAGCCACATTTCACAGGACATTTGTTATATTCACAGCAGCTGAAAAGAGTTGAGAAAACAAGGAGAAAAGGGTAATTTCTGCCAGCTGTTAAGGCTTTATATTGAGAAACTGTCCTCTTTCCTTCCGTAGCACTTGAGTTCCTGATTCTGGCTGTGGAGAGTAGCTGGCTGTTGACTTGTCTGTTGGCAAGCTTACAATTTGTTCCCTTAAGCCTATTCAAACAGATATGTTCTCAGAAGGTTAGGCAGGAAGAGTTTGTTCCATTAGGGATAGAAAGTGTGATACAGCTGAGGATAATGCTGCGAGAAGTTACTGCTCTTTGTGGATATCTGATGAGAAAATTCTCCTTGATCTGCCCATCCTTTGTGAACAAAGCTTTTGTAGAAATAAACTTCAGAGCCTGACCCATCAGTAATGATTATCTTCTCCCAGCAACAGTGTACCTCATTAATGAATGAAAAAAGTGTTGTGTAAAACAGGCTGTGTTGATCTTTTTAGGTCAGAAGCTATCCAGCAGGTCTATCCAAGATTCAGTGAAGGTACTATTTGTTGGGAGAAGGAGGGGAAGGCAAAAATCTCATCACATGACAGGAGTGTGTGCATTTGTTTGGGGTTTTTTTCCAATGTAAGCTGTTACACCTTAGTTTCTCAGTCCATTTCTAATGTGTGTGACA